TTCCGGGCCCACAAAGCCGTCCTAGCCGCCAGCTCCCCTTACTTTTGCGACCAGGTGCTCCTGAAGAACAGCCGGCGGATCGTCCTTCCCGACGTGATGAACCCCAGGGTGTTCGAGAATATTCTCCTGTCAACCTACACCGGGCGCCTGGTCATGCCCGCTCCGGAAATCGTCAGCTACTTGACGGCCGCCAGCTTCCTGCAGATGTGGCACGTGGTGGACAAATGCACGGAGGTGTTGGAAGGAAACCCTTCTGTGCTGTGCCAGAAGCTCAACCGAACCAGCGACCACCAGTCCCCAAGCAGCAGTAACTACCACGGGCTGGTGGAAGGCTTTGAGCTGGGGGCAGCCGGCCAGGCGGATTTCCACAAAGTGCAGGAACTAAGGGACGGGGAAAACGAAGAGGAGAGTTCGAAAGACGAGCTGTTGTCCCAGCTGACCGAACACGAGTATCTGCCTAGCAATTCTTCTACAGAACATGACCGCTTGAGCACCGGCATGACCAGCCAGGACGGAGAAGAGGGAGTCAGCGACAGTACAGACTATCAGTACGCCAGGCCTCTTTACAGCAAGCCCAGTATCATGTCTCACAAACGATGGATACACGTAAAAACGGAGAGGTTCGTTCAGGACTGTGAAGGAGTAGCAATGCATGGCTCCTACGATGAGCACCAGGTCTCGGAGTCCGTGAATGCCGTTCAGCCAGACCACCCCGTTCAGACCAGCATTGCTGGAGATCCCCGGGTCAACGATAGGAAGATGGAAATGGAATTTGGGGGTCCAGCCAACGCAGGCCACTACGACGAGCAAGTCGACTTTTATGGCTCTTCCATGGAGGAATTCTCCGGGGAAAGGAGCGACGGGACTCTAAGCCTTCCGAGACCAGAGGCTTCGGGTTACGGAGAAAGCTTAGACCTTCCTTCAGGGATCAAGGAAGAAAATGCCTTGTCTGGCTTTTCCACCACCGACAAACTCTATCCCTGCCAGTGTGGAAAGAGTTTCACCCACAAGAGCCAGAGGGACCGCCACATGGGTATGCACCTCGGCCTCCGGCCTTACGGCTGCGGCGTCTGCGGTAAGAAATTCAAAATGAAGCACCACCTGGTGGGCCACATGAAAATCCACACGGGCATCAAACCGTACGAGTGTAACATTTGCGGTAAAAGATTCATGTGGAGAGACAGTTTCCACCGGCACGTCACTTCCTGCACCAAATCTTACCAAGCCTGCAAAGTGGAACAGAGCACGTCTAAAATGAACTAAGTGTGTGTGTGGGGGGGATGGATCTGATGGCTTATTTGAACAAGCAGAATGATTGTGTCCCACGGCCTGGGGCCTGAGGCCTGCTGCTTTTGAGGTGCTTGGTTCCAGGACCCTCTCTTAAAAGTATTCCTGAGGATTCCTCTCTTGAGACAGCAAACAGACCAGCCAGCGGGCGGAACGGTATTTTTTTTTTAACATAATTACAATCACTGCTATTTAATTTGTGCTTTGGGAACGTTTGGGTTCTCTTAAAAAGGAACTCCGAGGGGGCTTCTCGCTTTGGATTCATCTCAGCAGAATTCTGCTCGATATTTTAAGGTCCAGCGGGAATGTCCGTGCGGTGGGGTGGCTGTTTTCTTTGGGGGCGCCCCAAAGAAAACAGCGGTGTTTGAATTTAAGCCAGTCAACTAGAAGCGGGAGCGCGTTGGGGAGCAGAGGGCGAGGGAGTGGATGACTTTCCCTCCCTTTCTCCAAAAGCACATGGCGAGATCATTTTCAAGTGACAGAGTTAAAAGGGACTTTGGAGGTCTTCTAGTCCAGCCCCCTGCTCAAGCAGAAGACCCTAGAGAGTCTTAAAAGGGCCAGGGTTCAGAAATAATTACTTAAGTAGATTCACAAGAAAAGCAGAAAAGCTTTCTTCTTTCTTCGATTGTTCAAATTGTCTTTGCAGCTGATGTCTAATATATGCGTGTCTGACTTGGTATAATGGTAGCCATGTAACCTAATCATCTCTTTTAATTAAATATGCCCCTCCCCCCCCGTTAAATATGTTAAAACCTATCAGGTGTTGGGGTTCCCTTGTCCCTTCCTGCTCTCTCCCCATGGATAATCTTTCCATTTCTCCCATGAGGCACTTCTTCAGTTGACCACAGGCACTTAACTTACGGATGGTCCACCTCAAATGTCCACCACGAACTCAGCCATACCCTTCGCTAGGAATGGCTGCCACTGACTTGAACCCGAGCAGGGATCTCTTTGCCAACACTGTAACTTGCTAATGTGCAGAAGCACTTTGTATTTAAATCAAAACAAAACAAAAAAAGTATATTTTTAGAACGTGTATATATATATACATACATATATATATATATACTAGCTGTACCAGCCACGCGTTGCTGTGGCTCAGTCTGGTAAAAGCGTGTGTTGCTTTTACGTCCAACAGATGGCGCTGTTTTTCAAAAACATGTTTTTACCTGTCACAGGTGTGACATCTATATAATATAGGTATATAAAAACGTGCATATTCGAATGCAACGTGTGTCAAAATTTCAAAGCAATCAAGTGAAGAACTTTCGGAGATTTAAGATTTTTAACAAACGAACATTTACATTTTTATTTATATAGATATATAGATAGATAGATATATTCCCTCTGGTTTAATTTCTAATTCATGTCGTCGGTCTGGTTTTTCTTATTCGAAATTTTATAAGAATGAGAAGTTTTTTTGTTTACATAAGGGCGGGTACTGGGTGGGGTGTGTCTTTTGTGGAGGAAAACTAAGATCCTAAGGATCTGTTTTTAAGTTTCGTTTCCAAAATAAAACAGGAGCAAAAAAAAAGAAAAGAAAAAGAAAGTCACTGCCTTAGAAGATCCTGGAGGCCTTTTCTCTAATCTCTCAGAATCTCCACCTTATATAGGTCTTGAGGGAAGGTGAGTCCCTGCACAATGGGAAGACATCGAGAGAGAGGTCTGAATGGGGAAATGGAACACAAAAGACAGTTAATGCCACTTTGTTGGTGGGGTTTAATGCAGAAAGGGATTGCCTGCACGTAATTCTCAACTTACAACAGGGACCGAAGTTACAACAGCACTGGAAAAAGTGTCTTATGACCATTTTTCACACTTACGACCCCGTGGACACACGTGATCGGAATTCAGGATATGCCTGTGGACTTTTTAACACGTCGCTAAGATGCTGAGTCGCTTCAGACAGGAACAGAAGCACCGATCTCTTTGCTGTCATTTTCAGCATGGAATAAAACTTAGATATTTATCATCTGCCGGCAAGAATCCCAGGCAGAATTTATGTGCAATCAATAGCCCTCTCCTCCTTTAGGGCAGATCCAGATGGCTGTTGCAATTAAGGAAAACTAAAAATGCATCAAGTATAGAAATAGGTTATTTCCACTTAGGCCAGGATTCTGTGTGCGCAGTTAAGGGATAACAATATGTATTCCCTCTCTTTTGTGGTAAATTCCATTTGTGCATCTTCGTGTCTTGCAACTAATCCAGAAAAGGGTTTGTGGACAATTGTCACGTTCGGCGTCCTATGCAGGGACCAGGGTGGCTTCGTGTGATAAAACAGTGCGTTTAGTTTTGAACCCGTCTTGCTAACACAACTAAATTTCTCTAGAATATACTTTCCTTTTGCGAGGAAGGAAACACCCCACGAATATTACCTGCAGTTCTTTTTTTTTGTTTTGTTTTTTTTTTTGCAATTGTCACTTTCTTTCAGATATCTGCTGCTAAGATGCTGGGGTATCTTTTTCCTTCCATTGTGGTGCAGTTTGGACAGTAATCCATACTGCTTTCCTGCTGATCTGCAAAGGCAAAAACTGCTGGGTTTGGGAAATCTATTCTTATTTCTAATCCTTAAAGGATTTTAGAGGTATTAACCACAGACACACACACACACACACACACCCAAGTCCTTAAATAGGTGATTTTCCTGCACTTTGCTAACGCAGCATGTTTCACAAATCCAGGACTGTAAATATTATATTGTAAAATTCGCCATTGGCCTCTTTGTTGTTTTTTTTTAAAGGGCATCTATGTTAAAATATGTTGCGGGCGGATGATATTTCTAAACCTGAGAGTCTATTTAAAAAAAGAGAGAGATACTTCTTTTATCTAGAATCGTGGAATACTAAAAGCCTCCAGAAGAGGGTTTGTGCTTGTTTATTCAGATATGGATGAGTAGAATGGACAAATTTAGCTGCTAGGCCCCCCCAGGGGGAAGGAAGGTTGGAGAATTTAAATGCATATTAACATTTTTGAAGTGTTACCATTGACACTTCGATATCTCCTCTTCTGGTTTTCTGCCATATTTCTAGAATAAATGTGATTGCGGGTTTTTTGTTTTTTTTTATTTTGCAAACATTTGCCCGTTAAGCATCGTCACTTATAATATTTAGAACTGATTTATGAACCGCTATGTACTTATCTTGCAAAGGTGGGGGGGTATAATTCTGCTGTCCTTATTACGTACAGCGTGGTTTGTGTGACATTCCTGATTCTTTGTTTTCTTCTTATAGAAGAGTCTGTTGCTCTTTTGTATAACATGTTTTAATAAATGTTATCGGTATTTTTGCCAAGCGTGCTTGTTTGCTCACCAAAGGAACACGGGTGGGAGAGAGTCTCGCTGAATCCGATGGTGCTGATTACTGAATAAATAGGAACCCGATTTGGGTTTAAAGAATTCGGAAATCTGGCTAAGAGTAGCCATGCACCAAGGGACATCTGGACATTGGACAGGGTGGGCCAGTCCCTCTTCTGAAAGTCGGTGGGATCATCTGATGAAGAAGCTGAAGCCCACTTGGGTTCCATCAAGTCAACTTCACGCGGACGGCAGGCTTTTGCGGGCCAACGTCGTACAATCGGCGTCAGTGGCACTTAGCTGAACCCGACAATCACAACAGATGTAATTCAATCCCTCCTTTTCAACAAGAGTATCCAAATTCAGCCATTTATTTTCAAAACGGTAACCAAATCTATCCAATCCCAGAGATATTTTCCCTGCCTACAGCTGTCATAACGGGCTTGGCTTGAGCGAGTGTTTGCTTTCCAAACAAAACAGACACACTTCAACTTAAATCTGGCCTCTTGACTAAATTCCCCTCAAATTCAGTCACGGCCCACAAGAATCGCTTTCTATTTCGATAACAAATAGGGAACATGTTTCTTTCAGAAATGGAAAAAAATAGCCTATGCTGGGACCTGGGTAAATTATTCCTGTTGTGTTTCCCTGGTACACCTGACTTGGATCAAATGTGTGCAAAAATTAACAGGAACTTGTAAACTGCTCATTTTCACAGATCTTGTCCACAAGCCCTATTTAGGTGGACTGAGACAAAGAGAGAAACATACAAAGTCAGAAATGGCTGTTTTCAAGAAGCCCGCTCACCCGTTGTTGATTTAAAAACTATACCTCATAGAGGTAGCCCTTGACTTAACAACAGTTTAAGTGACTGTTCGAAGTTACAACACCACTGGAAAAAATGACTTAGGTCCGTGTTTCACACCACCATTGCAACATTCCCCACAGTCAGGTGCTCAAAATTCAAACGCTTGGCAACTGACTTGTATTTATGACAGTTGTGGTGTCCTGGGGTCACGCGATCCCCTTCTGCAGCCTGCTGACAAGCAACCTCACTAACTTAACAACTGCAGTAATTCATTTAACCCCTGTAGCAAGAAAGGTTGAAAAATGGGGCAAAAATAAAATAAATGTGAGTCAGGGGCCAAGCATCTGAATCTTGATCACATGATCACGGGAGGGAGGGAATCTGTAAAGGCTGGAACTATGAAAAACGATTGTAAGTTGCATTTTTCAGTGCTGTTCTAACTTTGAACAGTCACTAAACTAACTGTTGTAAGTCAAGGACTTCCCACATATTATGAAAGTCAGCATTATATATCTTTACTTCTCCATCTGGAAGGCAGAAAAAGTCTTTTTTTTTTAAAAGAAAAACAACCGCGTGCCATTTTTCCCCGCAAAGCAGAATATTTTTATTATCCTACCCCCAAAAGATAATAAAGAGTCCACAGCCCAGAGGTCGGCAGTGTAAACAGCCTGCGCATTACTCAGTTGTGCCTCCACGGTGTCAAGGCAGAATGACTTGTGAACTTATTAACCCTCCGTCTCTCTTGGGGAAATCAAGTCATGAAGAGTTTATGATTCTAAGAATGGGAGATGCTGGGCTGGGTCAGTTCATAAACTTTAGACCCCCTAAAAGTTTAAAAAAAAACAAAAAAAAACTCTTCAATTAACTCCACCGCCC